AAAGACTGGACTGTCAGCCGAAAATCTGGGTATGAACGTGCGAATTGTGGCCGTCAGCGACTAGTCGATGTTAGGGCAGAACGGAGAGTGGCAGGACTGGTACAAGACAACAGAAGGGCAACAGTGCAGTGTCAGATTCCTCGCATCGCCTTTCAACATCTCGTGGTGTCACGAGGCGGCCCAACGAAGTCATCTCGTGGAGTTATCTCGTGGCCCAACGAAGTACTGATGGGGTGGTTATAATAATCTGGCCACTCAGTGTATTTGTAGACCATAGTCTATTCTCTTTTAATAATTTTGCAGAACCTTCACACACTTTCCTTACTAAAATCCCCCATTAACTGGTGCATTATTTTACACTGAATGTAAATCTGAACTACCTTACTGCTGTCACCTAAAAGTGATAGATGAAAAAATAAGAGTGAGGAACAAAAACCCCCACACACCCTCCTGTAATAAATTATTTTTAAAAAGCCCTACAGTACCTGCCCTTAGTTTTCACATGATGCATATACAGGAGTACTCTCTTCTGTAGCACAGGTAAGTATTGAAGGGCTTGTATTTTTTTTTACTATAACAAGGGTGGTCAGAAGGACTATGTTTTAAACTAAACTTGCTCACCGACCTCATGTCCATAAAGCAGCCTCCAGGTGCCTCCTCCCAAATGTTGATATTATTTAGAGAGCACTTTGGAATCCCAAAAAATCAAGGCACTTTATTATGTGAATAGCAACCACAGCTTCCATGTTCCCATTCTGAATCCACTTTCTCCTGCACACTCACTGTCTTCTCTATTAGTGATAGTTGGTGGAGCCAGAGAAAGTTTGGACAGAGCAGAACAATGCAAGCCCACAGAGTTACTTAGTATAGGTCTGCTTTAAGGTGGCCATAAATTTAGCTTTCAATCAGTCAAATCAACAAAATGTACACAATTTAACAACAACCAAGTTATAGATGGGCACAACCTAAGGAGCCAGTTTAAATTTAATTCAGTTGGAATGCCCATATATGTGGTGATTAGTAAAACTGGATGGATTAACCAATCAAAATCTGTCTGTCTTCAGCTACAGCATAAACATTGGTTGAAATTTCAGTCGAATGCATGTTAAGGTTCTGACCTGTGCATCAGATTATTATCTATTTTTGAGCTAAGTCTACTCAATATAGATCTGTATAGGCATTTAATCCTATCATGTGGTAAAAGGCCTAAAGACAAACTTTTATCAAATCCATACCGATTCTACTGTGAACATAAAACTTTGGTGTTCAGTTCAAATTTGGATATCTCCCTATAGGCAAAATGCCAAGCATTGGTGAATGATACAATATAAGCTTGTGTTCTTCGTCTTATGTATCTTATATATAAATATATTTATATGGGTCTTTGTGGCCATCTGAACCAATTACACTTAACTAAATGCAACCTTATGTATTTTTATTGTTGCTTGTACCTCATAGCAGACTGCAGAACACGTGCCCAAACAATTCCATTACACTAAAAAATACATGATAAAACATACAACACCCAAAAGATTTTTTGAGACAGCCAAAGTGCATCTTATCTATCTCCATACTCCAAGTAATATAGCTCAACAATTTTTAGAAAATGAAAGACTAGTATATTTTAATCATCTTTTATTTTCTCCAACCAGCAGAGAAGGAGAGCTTCTAATGGTACATACTGTACTAACTAACAAGAGTGACAACTAACAAATAGAGGAAAGGCTGAGGTCATCGCCAAACTACTATAAGACAATACCTAAATCCAATATTATACTGGACAATAGTTAGTAACATTCATATATTATGATTACAATGATGGTAAGTGTGTATGTAAGGAAGTAATTGGTCACCTTACATAAGATCTGTGGCATCTGTGTCATTTAAAATAGCACCTATTGTCCTAGCAGCAAGCAAATAGAATATAAATGAATTGCTGACATATCTATAGTACTGTTAGATATCACAAATGCTATAAAACTGTTTGTTTCTCCCAGAATCATCTATGCTGACATAGTTCTGCACAACCGACTTTAATTGTAGTAAATGCACACAGTTAAACAAAAATTCCATTCGGTGCTGTACCACTTCATTAAAAGAAGACATTAGACAGACATATGCAATAAAATGTCATTCTTCATCCACTAAACGAAACGCAACAATAACATGCTAATAATGTACATGTAATATATAGATTTTGGGGTAATGTGTAATTTGCTTAAATTCCAGCAGGCAACAATATCACAAATAAATAAACTTAAACCTTAGTATTATAACCAAAATAGGTCTAAAAATTCAAGATACATTTGATCTCTTTCAGTACCCCATGCACTTCATTTTGAATGTGCATTCAGAAGGATTTTGTTATGTGGAAGAAGGTTTAGAATATGTCATAAAATATCTACACTTGGTAGCTGGTAATGTGATTGTCTTCTGAAATGACTTCCAGTTAATAAACAGCAGTCTTGGCATAAGAATCAGGAATGATACTTATGCTACCATGAGAAGAGTTAGTATTGCTTAAAACATTCACTGGTCAGCTGGTGGTCAGAAGTAATAAATATGAGTTCTACTAATAAGTCAAGTGAGAATAACTGCTAAAATATAAGCGAAGTTGTGCTACAGCAAAATTATTTATTTAATTGCAATGGTTCTACCTAATACAACAATCTAATTGGAACTTTTTGGATGCCTTCAACAACAAAACGATCAACAACTGATGCTGGTGTAGCAATCTAATGAGAAAACACAATTTTATAATTGTGTTCTGGAGGCACGACCCTTTGCCCTTGAGTAAAATAAAGAGACAAACTTTGTGCTAGAAGATTATACAAAACCATGAAAGCACTAGATGAGCAGGGAACTAGAGCAAACCTTGATCTAGGTAGCTACATTTAGAAACATTTAGCAGGTTCCACATTTCATCTATTATGGGGCAATGGGACTCTTATATAGAAACATGTAAAACATATTCACACAGATTAACTATTTTGTCTGAGCATTCTTAAAAAAATATTTGTATTATCTTAGTAAAATCATTTTATATACCATGCCTCCCTCTTTAAAAAATAAATAAAAAAATCCAGTTTTGCATATATAGCATTAGCATTTAAGGTAGTATGGCATTCCCCTTTTAAAATCAAGGGAGGGTAGGGAGATCTGCAAAATGCCTATTAGAGATTGCCAGCATTTGTAGCATTGTGAGACCTTTGGTTAGTTGAAACCACTTCAGATCAATAAAATAACAAATCATATTTACTTCATAAAAAAAGTCTACAAAAATCATTCTTAATTTAAAGAAAGTTCTATCCTTACTGGTCCTAAATCTGAAGAACTACATCTAAATGTGTCTGTAATTTTAATTTCTACACATCTACCAATATTTACTAGAAGAAAAGAGAAAATTAATTTAGTATGTTAGCAACAGGAAAGCACACTTACACAACAGCCACTATTTACACTGCTAAGATACTGGTAAGGACAAAAGAATCTTCTAGCAGGATCGATATTAAAAAAAAAATATATCCTTCATAAGTTTCGCCAGAGAGGACCAATATAAAACAGCCAAAATAAGTTTGTGCAAATAGGAAATTGTCAGTTTTCCCTACCAGTCACAGTGCAATGATGTTCCATACCCTTGTTATTATTATTTCTACAATAAATTATTTTGTATCTTCTCTATTGTGATAGTTAGAGCACTGAGGTATTAAAACAAATGGTTTGCATTCCTAATTAGTGGAAAAAAAATATTATTATGTAATATAGGGTGAATGATGCCTTTCCTGCATGGCATATGTCAGTAACTGGAGACAACAAAACAAGAAGAAAAAGAATACAGATATATAGAGCAGCTGAAATGACTGGACAATTATTTGACCTATTTTAAATATAGAGAAAAAAACTTGATGCGCTTCAGTTGTTAAATACTTTAAATATTAAACTGTAGCTTCATTTTCATTCTGGGTTTTTTTCTTTATCATCAAATCAACAAAAATAGAACCAGACTTTTAAGCTGTGCACATAGTTTAAATAGGTAATATGCTGGTATGACGCTAGTACAGTTATCAGGTCTAAACAACTACACAACAAATTTAACAGTGTTAACTAACTAATAGGGCACATTGTGGCAACTCCTCTAGGGTTTAAACTTAACAATGATGTTATCGATCCCCTTTATTGTTTAGAGATGCTACTGACTGCTTGCCCTTACAAAAAAAATATATATATATTTTATTTCTCTTTCCTAAGAGTTTACATGTAATTATGGAAGGTTATTTACAGCACTTCTGTTTGCTTTAAGAATGAATTTCATAAAACCTTAAGAATATCACCTTTTTCAACAAGAAAAAAAAGCACTTATATAAAAACCGAGGACTCAAAAATTTGTTGTCCTTAAGTTATTGCCGAAAATAGATATAATCAGTTTAACAAAGGGAGACATCACAAAAATTCTACATAATCACCTTATCAGCTGCTCTTTTACATTATGTACATCATGAAATTTACTTTACTTCAGTACCAAATAAAACCCTACCGTAACATTCATCATGTGCTAAAATCCAACCTTATATCACTGTTCACAAAATTCTATTTGCCAAAATTGTTTTCTTCTTACTGACAGGTACCAACGTTTTTAACATATTCATAAGTTCAATCTCTTTTGAGCCATAATAATAATAAAAGTAAAGACTTATAAATTCAACAATTAATATCTCTACTATGGTTAGCTTCAACTAAACACAAATAGAAAGAAACGTAATAAGGGTGAACTAAAAATGTGCCCCACAATTCCAATGCAAAAGGAAAAAAAAATGACAAAGCAACATTAAAAGCAATACAGGTCTGCACAGAATTTTCTTGTAAAGAAAAAAAAGCTGTAGATTTTATAGCACAGCAGGTTCATGAGATGAAGAGATTGAAACAGTTGCAGTCCCCAGAGTGCCATCTCTCCAGTTGTGTTTCTGTGTATATATTTCTTGTACTAGTGAAAATGTAGTACTCAAGGCCTGATGACATCATCCCAACATGGGACCATTCAGAAACTTCGCCCGGTCTTGCCTGGGCATCCAGATAAATTCTACAGTAGGAAAAACAACAGAAGTCAGCTTAACAGACATACATAGACTACAAAAATATTTACACATTTTTGCTACAGGAGACTATTGACAATAATATTCAAACAAGGCAAACATCAATTATTTTATCAACCTCCTCTCCACACTCCCGTATATCTTTCTAGTAGGATTGCACAGATACCAAGTACAGTACTCGGTACAAGTACGAGTACATGTACCGATACTTCTGAGCTCCAGGACTAGACTAGAGAAAAATTAAAAAATTAGGAGGCAGCTGTCATTTGTAAGGAGCACACCGAGCTCCTGGGATTTGTACATCTCTGTTTTAATGTATGATTTTATTTTTATAAATAAAGGGATGCACAGATACCAGTTTTGCGAGTACGAGTACTGGTACTTGCCGAGTACTTACAAGTACGAGTACTGATACATTTTTGTTTATTGTCATGTGACAGGTTTTCTAAAACAATACAGACTAATGATTTCAGGACAGTGGTGGAGCGCCAGAGCCAAGTCCCAGCTGCAACCGCTGTAACCCTGGTAGTTCTCATGAAAATGCCAAGTATCTACACTGGTACTCGAAAAGTATCTGTGCATCCCTACTTTCTAGTTTCCATTTGGCAAAAGAGGGTCTGGGACTATTTAAATTACTTTCAATTACTATGCTATTATTCTGGATGGTCAGCTCAAAGGAAAGTCTCACATTTTGATTAAATATAGCAAAATAAAAATATCTTTGGCACTCTAATGATTCACACTAAATGACCTAAAGTTAGCCATGTTCATCCTAGTTTCTACATAAGATACAAGCAAAACAGTTTTTGTAATTTGTGGGACCTGTAGGAGTTAAATCCTACATGATTACAAGTCCTTCAATGCTTTCGGTAATGCACACAAATGAAAAAAGAAACATGTAAATCATATCTTTTTATCAAAAAAGGAAAACTGCAAGCAATCCGAAAGATGTGAGCAATTTCTTGACTGGTTGATCTCCATTGTTGTGTGCTACAAAGCTGAGCTGGCTGTCTCTGGTTTTCTATGCAGGTTGGCATTTAATCTAACTGTAATTTAACAGAACATTCAAACAGGGCTGTCGGAAGCCATGGCTTAACTACTGAAAACAACACCTAGGAAGACACCTTGCTATATGGGATGCTTGTGAATGATGTGACATCACATAAATGCAGTGCTTGCCCAGTTTTGATTATTATAGAACCCTAATTCCCAAAAAGTTGGGACGCTGTGTAAAATCTACATAAAAACAGAATCTCATAAACCCATATTTTATTTACAATAGAGAATAGAAAACATATCAAATATTTAGGCTGAGAAAATGGACCATTTTATGAAAAAAATAAGGTCATTTTGAAATTGATGGCAGCAACACGTCTCAAAAAAGTTGGGACAGGGCAACAAAAAGCTGGCAAAGTAAGTGGTACTAACAAGGTAGAGCTGGAAGCACATTTTGCAACTAATTAGGTTAACTGTCAATAGGACAATAACATGATTGGGTTATTAAAAAGAGCATCTTAGAGAGATTTAGGAGTAAAGATGGACAGAGGTTCACCAATCTGTGAAAAGCTGCATCTAAAAAATGTTGAACGATTTCAGAATAATGTTCCCCAACATAAAATTGCAAAGACTTTAAATATACCGTATCATCATCCACAGTACATAATATCAAAAGATTCAGAGAATCTGGAGAAATCTCTATGTGCAAGGGACAAGGCCACAATGCAATATTGGATGCCCGTGATCTTCAGGCCCCCAGACGGCACTGCATTAAAAACAGGCATGATTCTGTGGTGGACATCACTGCATGGGCTCAGAAATACTTCTAAAAATCACTAACTGTGAACACAGTTTATCGCGCCATCCAAAAATGCAAGTTAAATCTCTGTCATGCAAAGAAGAAGTCATATCTGAACATCATCCAGAAACGCTGCCATCCTCTCTGGGCCAAAGCTAATTTAAAATGGTTTGTTGCAAAGTGGAAAACAGTTCTGTGGTCAGACAAATCAAAATGTAACTTTTTGGCAACCATGGGTGCCGCATCCTCTGGACTAAAAAGGAAAGTTACCTTCTGGCTTATAAGCGCCTAGTTCAAAATCCCACATGTCTGATAGTATGGGGTGCAATAATGCATATGGAATGGGCAGCTTGGACATCTGTAAAGGCATCATCAATACTGAAAGATATATCCAGGTTTTAGAGCAGCATATGCTCCCATCCAGATGACATCTTTTTCAGAGAAGACCTTACATATTTCAGCAGGACAATGCTAGACCGCATATTGCATCTTTGACAACAGCATGGCTTTGTAGTAGAAGAGTCTGGGTGCTTAACTGGCCTGCCTGTAGTCCAGACCTTTCACCAATTGAAAATATTTGGTGCATCTTGAAATGAAAAATACGATAACGAAGACCCAGGACTGTTGAGCAGTTAGAATCCTATATCAGGCAAGAATGGGACAACAATTATCTCTCAAAACTCCAACAACTGGTCTACTCAGTTCCCAGATGTTTACAGAGTGTTGTTAAAGCAAGAGGGGATGCTACACTGTGGTAAACCTGGCCTTGTCCCAACTTTTTGGAGACGCATTGCTGCCATCAATTTCAAAATTATTTAAAATGGTACATTTTCTCAGTTTAAATATTTGATATGTTTTCTATTTTCTATAGTGAATAAAATATGGGTTTAAGAGATTTGCAAATCATTAAATTCTGTTTTTATATGTAGATTTTACACAGCGAATTGGGGCTGTATTACAACATGTCACAACTTATTCCTGTAGATGTATTTAGAGATCTACATAGGAAAAACAAGGAAGGAGGGGGGAGCTAGCAAAATAAAAAAATAACATTAAAAGTAGATTTTTAATAGAGCGTATTCTAAATCCATATTTTTTTTAATTACCTAGCTACCATATGGTCCATCAAGTATTATTAACTAATCTCTTTTGATAATTTACAGTTGCACACTTTATCTTGCTTAAAGAAAGAAAAATAAATTTGTTTACCTAAAACATACATCTGACTAATACTAATTAGGCAAAGGAAATGTCCACATACAGCTATGTCACAATCCAAACAACAGAGGCTGAAGCTAGTGTGGGAAGAAGGCACAGGAAAAGCTAGCTATACATAATTGAAATGTATAATAAAGAATTAAAATTCAACTTGGTGAAAATTAGCTAACACTTTTCCAATCATTTAAGATGTAAAAATACCTATTTGTACAAATTGTTTTCAAAAGACCTTCAAACTTCCAAGGTGCAAGCATGTTGCAGACAATGTCAGATTTACTAAAGGGCATAGGTGGACTGAGCCCAGGACAGCAATATTAGAGGGAGCAGCAATAAACTACAAATGTTACTCTTATTTTTGCCTTGTCTTACTACATTTGAGCATTTGTGAGAAAATTCCAAAGTGTAACTGAAATAGGATTCTTAGGTTATAGAGCAAAGTATTAACGCCCTCTGCACATCTTTTACATGTTTGTTGGACAATCTTGGCTGTTGGACTACAAAATCCAAACACAGTGGTATTATTTGTAGAGTAGATAGCAATCGGCTTCCACAGTAGCATATCTTGGCTTTAATGTAATATGACATGTTTGCTGGCTAAATAGATATAGCCTGTACAGAAAGATACTATTGTTCACATATGCCTAGGACAGCCGGAGTATATGAAATAATGCATTGCAAACATCAGAGAATAATGAGTTGATGTTGACAATAAAGATGAGTGAATAATTAAAATCTGCCCCATTCGTAGTTCTCCTAGTCTGCTCATGTGACTATTATTCACAAAGCGTCAATATGTAATTTCAGCTTAACATACTACACATGGACTATCCACCATTACTCTCTGCTAACTTAATACAAGTCTGTATGGTTTTTACACTGTGCCCCACTGAACTGGTAAAGGAGTCAACTGGATTCTTTACAACTCACTGTGGCACTATAGGATTGATTTACTAAAGGCAAATAGGATGTTCACTTTGCAAGGAAATTGTTTATTTTCATTAAATCACAAGTGAGCAAAAATAGTTTTTTTTTAAATATTTTCCTTGCACGTGCTTGGGTATTGCAAAGTCAACAGCCTATTTGTCTTTAGGAAACCAACCCCTATGGTTAGTTAATAAAAAGAGGGAAACATATCTTAGTACTGTTTATTTAAAGGATAACTGTACTTTAATAGTCCAGGTTTATGAGATGAAGAGACAGAGGTAGTTGCAGTCCTCAGAGTGCTACCTCTCCAGTTGTGTTTGTGTGTGTGTATATCTTGTACTATTGAAAATGTAGACGTCAAGGACTAGGGATTAGCTATTCAAAGGATAACTGTACTGAAGGTGCAGTAATCTTTTAAATAAAATGTATCATAGATTTACAATAATTTCATACAGACATCATCCCACAATAGGTCTATCTCCACATTTTCCATGCTCTGATTTCCCGTAATCAGGGGAAACATTGTAAAAAGCTGTTACAGTGTTGGCCTCTTTGGATTTGATGTTCTATTAATAAAATAAACGTATAATATGCCTTAATTTATTATATGTCCAGAAGCTGCCGAATGAAGAACTTTTCTCTCAAATATAAACCTATATAATTGTATTTATTGAGGAGAAGCCCTAGCATGGAATATGTAGTGTTTTTTTATCACTATGCTTAAGTCGGAACAAATGTGTAAGACATCCAATCTACTGTGTCATTAGTTCACTAATGGGCAGATACATTTTGTATGAACTCCACAATTAGCTAGACCTCACTCTTGGGGCAGCCAAGATGTGGAAGAGTCTAGAGCTAATCAGCTACGGGGGGAAGGGGAGGGGGGCACGATCTGCTTAAAGCCTTTGTGCTAATGGGAGATTGTATCCTCTATTTTCTAAAATCAACCTGATCCAGTGAGATATTAAACCTTGTGGATTGATTTGCTAGTCTGGAGTCTGCATATCTGCTCAAACAAACAAATGTACATTAAATATTCTATTAAATTCT